ACCAAAGATGGACAACTCTGAATTCAAAACTGAATGTAGCTCTGGTGAGGCAGACTGTAACTAATGGGCCCAAGCAGATGCATTGTCCAAAACGATTGGACACTGCTGTCAACACCAAGTGGCAACAGTCTGCAACAGATGGCCTGAAGATTGCATTCAAGTATGAAACAGACAATCGCCACTCTGAGTTGACTATTTGCTCTATATATCATTTTTGATTATTTTAAATGTTATTTTTAGTGGATACCTGTATTTGAGTAGATACTAAAAAGTAGATTACTTAAAAAAAAGGTTTGATTAAAAAGTAAAATCCATTATATATATATATATATATATATATAAAATCAGGTAAATCAGTATCACTAGAATATATGAGTAGAATCCTCATGACTGATTTACCTGTCCTAGTAGATCAACTACACAAAATTGAACACACAATGGAATGAATATATATATATATATATATATACACACACACACATATATGCTATAACGATATATAATTTTATATATCAACAGCATTTAGAAAAATATGACAAACTGGAAAATTTCTTGTGATGTGTTTCAGTCTGCTGAAATCCTATTGGTTCAAACACATCACAAGAAATTGTCCAGTTTGTCATATGTATATATGTTATGGTAATTTACACATGCATGCATGGACACTCCCAGCTATAAATAGGAGCAGGTATTGCCTTTTGGAGAGGGAAGTTTCCAGTAGTCAGCTCTGATAGTCGGACCAAACATTCTGCTGTAACACTCTTGTTTGTATTACTGTTTCTGTTAATATATTTAACTCAATTCCTCTCTTGTGCCTTTATTTCTGGCCCTAACAAATATATATATATATATATATATATATATATATATAGAGAGAGAGAGAGAGAGAGAGAATGTTATGCTAAAAATAAAAAAGAACTATATATATTTCAACTTGGTTGGATTTTTTTAGCATATATATATATATATATATATATATAGATAGATAGATAGATAGATAGAGAGAGAGAGAGAGAGAATTATGCTTAAAAAAAAAATCCAAACAAATTGAAATATATATATATATATATATATATATGCACACTACTTAATGTAAAGTGCTCAATATCCGTGATAGAGCTAACATATTCAGTTGTATGGATGATAGTTTGTGAACTTGGTTTTCTTATTTTGTGATCATCAAACTGGATTATTTTTTTCAAAAGTGGATCTATTTATGTTTATTTGTGTGTGGGTGTATGCATCTACATATATGTGTGAACGAATGTGAGCATATCTGATGGCACAGATGGTCGATCTGAAAAATGTCAAGACAACCCCCCCATGTTTCTTGTTAAGAGAACATTGCTACATATGTAACAATACAGTCTTGACACCGAAATTGAATGACAATTGTGTATATATGTATGCTCAAACGCATGGATGTGTATCTGTGCCTAACCTCAGATTATTTATATAGGTGTGTTTGTGTGAACTAAAACACCTATATGTATGTGTGTCTATATATGTGAGTGTCATCCCAAACAAACTCAGATGAAAATTCCCCCTCCACTATACACACACAAATAGATCCACATTTGAAAAAATAAACGAGTTTGTCTGATGATCGCAAAAGCATAAGACTCATGGTTACAAACTACTTACTATCCATACAACAATAATGTTCGTTTGTTGTAATTTTGACTTAGCTGGTGTGTTATTGTTCCTTATCCTCAAAAACAATAACACACCAACTAAGTCAAAATTACAACGAACAAATATTATCTGAGTTCAAATGCCCCTTAAAGAACTGTGTTCCTGATCAAACTGAACTCATAATTATGTAGGTCACACAACTACATGCCTATCCAGACACCTTACGTTACACCTATCTGACCAGAGCTCCATTAGATCCCATTTAAACACACACACACACAAAACCTACCAGACTCAATTCAAAACATACTAGTAGAAAACAAAAACATAACCTCATCCACTTGTAAAAAAAGATTAAAATAATGGAAGCCCTAATAATAAAAAAGAAAAAGTCAACTCTTAACAATATTAACTACGAAATACACGACAATGTGCTGTGTTCAGAAAATAAAATACCTCTATAACACATTAAAAGCATACACATAACACACACTCAATTAAACTGAAAAATAAAATCATCCTTGATAATGGCTAAAAGTGTATCCGAAAGCGCTCGGAACTATAGAACATTTGGACAGTTTCTACACACTCTGTGTCCAAAAAAGAAAGCTCTTGTGTGAACACAAGAAAAATTAAATAAAAAGCTTAACCATAGCACCTTGTCTGTCATTTTTAATGAAACATGCTTATATATATATATATATATATATATATATCACATATATATAGTGCTGGTGTTAATAAACAGTGCTCTATATAACAGAGCTATTTATATATATATATATATATATATATATATATATATATATATATATATATATATATATATATATTTATATATATTATCCCTCACTGCTAACGTGACTAAGATGGAACTCAGTTGTGCTAGTGGTGAGTTTACTAAATATGCATATACCTATGTTTGAAGTGCAACTTAAAGTTTTATGGTTCTACCAACTCATCAGGCACAAACATTTCAACCATAAATTTTTATTCAACAAAATCTTCAATAAGAACAATATTAAGATTAGTTACAACTGCAATAGAAACCTTGAGCAACATATAGCACAGCATAATAATGTAACTTAAAACAAATACTTAAGCAACCTCAATAGCAATATTAACATAGAAAATAAGTGTAATTTTCAAAAAGGCATTAACTGTCCAATGAAACATAAATGTATGCATAAATGCATCATCTACAAGGCTAGCATTAAACATAATGGTGAGACAAAAATTTATTTTGGTTCCCCAGCAAACAACTGGAAAAGAAGATTTTATCACCATAAAGTGACTCTTAACAATAAGCAATATATAAATATCATAGCACTCTCAAAATTTTACTTGGATATCAAAACAAATGACTATACACCGGTAGTAAATTTGATGCCAAAATTACACCCTTTTCCAGAAATGGCAACCGATGCAACTTGTTTGCTGGCAGAAAGGTTCATCCTCAAAAATATTAATGACCAAAATCTAGTTAATAAACGAAATGAACTCATGTTAGCTTGTAATCACAGAAAGAAAACTCTCTTAAAATATTTTAATTCTGGATAAATATGTTATCCAAATATCACATGCCCTTCTCATATTTTAGGGTACATATTGTAATGTCTATTATTATTTAATGAGTTACTTGGCGTTCTTTTTTAAACTTGCATTTTTTTGTTTTCTTTTACAATAGCCCTCTACCTACAATGCTATAATTTTGTATTTACACCCCAATAATACATTCAGTTTATATTAACATTGAACTTTGAATCTGTGTTTAACATTCATCCCATGAGACCTAGTATTTTTTTTTTTAAATAAAAATTAAGAAATCATGCCTGATGAGTTGGTAGAACAAAACTTTAAGTTGCACTTCGAACGTAGGTATATTTATATTTATTAATATATACTTCTTAGCTCTGTCTACACCTTATATTAAATTGTGTAAATATTTGTTTGATTACCTGTGTATGCATGCTAACACACGTATAAATGGTTGCTAACATCTAGTTATTTGATTTATATCCACACACATAGACAGAATATGATGCAAAAAAGAAACATTCAACAACTTGATAGATATATATACATCATGATTCAAACTGCCTGCAGTAACGGTTTTCAGGCTTGCCTTGCTAGTGTAGCAACTTTAACCCTCAGTGTTCGATGGCCTTATGTCAGAGACTAAACTAAGGTTAATAACCACATTAATTTACACAAGCAGAATTTCAGATAAATCTGTTACATTCCCATTTTCAAAACAAGATAGTCATTCATACAAAACCCATACCAACAAAACAGTACTCTAAAAATGCAGAGATAACCGTAATCAAATCGGACATACATTTCATAAAAAAGATAAATTCCACCAAAATTCTTCAGACTGTTCACTGAAGAATTTTTACAGCTTAAAATTGGAATGAAATACATTATATACCATGTCTATTATCATACAAGACACACACACAAATAATTGCACATTTTAACACTGAGGCAGCCAGAGTCTTCATTTTATCCTGAATATTCCTTACCATAGGATGTAATTTTATCTTAGACAATTATTCAACAGAGTCCAAATATATGTTATTTACTCAAACTATATTAGTAATACTGTAATTAACAGTATTCTATGAAAGGAATTATGTACACTATTTACATTATTCGGACTATTGTCCTCATCTTTGTCACCATATTTATTACAACGTTTCAGCCGTTGTACACTCCGGCCTTCTTTAAGTGATTGGAATGTTGAACTCAAGGACACATGGCATAGTGGATAAAGGCGTTAGATCCAGTGACAGGACCCAAAGAGTGTGAGTTCAATACCCAGTTAAGACAGTGGAGAACTTGGAGAGGGGAATTAACAGACATCCATTAAACATGGCTTGTGGAACTAGAACAGTCTACCCCAGTGAGTGAAATAAAGGGTTCAGTTCGACATTCCAACCACCCGAAGAAAGCCGGAGCATACAATGGCTGAAACTTCATAATAAATATGGTGACAAAGATGAGGACAATAATCTGAATAATGTAAATAGTGTACATAATACCTCATCTCAGAAATATAGACAGATACAAAAGGAATTATCATAACAAAGTACTAAAATATTGATAAGAACCATTGTTTGATTTTTTATGGCTTATCAACTCTTTAAAGCCAGAAAATATTTTTAGATGCAAGAATTTTTAAAAAAATAATAGTTTAATGATACAAGTCTTACTAATTAACCCATAAGTGGGGGAGATGTGGATTCATACCTTTCCTAATGGTATTTTTGTGTGTAAGCGAATATAACAAACCCAACTGAAATTAGGATTAGGCTCATTGATTAACAATTCTGAGCCATTAAACACTACACACCCAAGCTTAAAGCACCTGGTATTCCCAAGTGGTCACCCATCTAGGTACTAACCAGGTTCAATGTTTCTTAACTTTGGTGATCATATGGGAACCTGTGTTTCAGTGTGATAATGTTGATCAGGACCAGTTGATCCATCACAATACATCCCCATCATTAATCAACTAGAAGCTACAGAAAAAAGACATTAACTGAAAAGAAATACTAGTAATGGTAAAACACTAACTTGGGACACAACATTATGGTGACAAGAACATATCAAACAGATGTTAAAGAAGAATGACTGAAGCAGTGGGTTTGTTTCCATTGTGATTTCTTGCATTACGTCCAATGGTACTGTTAGCTTACTCTTTATATAGTGAGGTTTTCCACTTTAACTAAAATGCTTTTGTAATGTACTGGTAGCTTGCTTTTTATATACAGTAAGGTTTTCTGCCAGAGATAAAGTGTTTCTGTAATATATTGATAACTGTAGCAAAAAAAAAAGAAAAAAAAAAGCAGCTTTAAACTTATTGTAGCAATCAATGCCTGCAATCGGTTTCTTGTCTTTCTCATCTGCACACTTGTAGCCAATTTAATACAGCAGTCAACTGTAATCAGTTTCTTTTGTCCTGTCCGCAACACTTGCAGCCACTTCATCATAACAGTCGACAGTCTTTTTCCTCACTAACTCATCACCCCTTTCATTCCATTTTTATCTATCACTGATAGTCAAAATTTGTATATGAACAGATAAGAGTATCTTATTCTGAGATCTATTTTAAATATGTGATCCATGAAGCCACCATTTCCTTCCCCATTGGACAGTTTACACCATGAGGCATGTTTGAATATTTGCTTGCACTGGAGTTAAGTTATTTTATTCTAGCATTGCAAAAAATACTTGCAACCCTAGGCCTCTTTGCCCTCTGTGGTAACTCACTACAATAATTTACTTTAAGTATTACATGATTAAAAACTTTTTTATATACTGCTGTAAAAGATAGGTGTTGGGGGGCATCTAATATATGTCTGTCTGTATTTTATGCTGTCAAATAGTGTTGATTTGGGCGTTGGCTTCTTATTTGGTGGACAGACTAATTACTTATTCACCTACCACCCCATAAAAATACTCAGTTTTTTTTTTCAAGTGTACATGAAAGCCAGGAATTATTTGAATGTTAAGCAAGTCATCCTTACTTGGAATATCAACATAACACAATCATCCTCCTGCTAGACTAAGACGACAAAACAAGTGTATACTTAAATTAGGAAAACAAACTGGTGAAAAATGGATTTAAATTATCAGAAGAGGCTACTGATAATTTATCAGACTTCCTAAGAATTTGATCAAACATCCAAAATTTGTTTGAAATCCCTTGGAGAATTTTTTGGCTTCCTCTCACATAATCATTTTAAAAATATTAGTTAATAGAAATGTTTTAGAGACTTTTACAGCTTGACATCATTTACTGGTCACAGTGCTGGAAGAATATGGCAACTTACATATAGGGTTGATGATTATAATGGCAAAGAATTTAACAAACTAATAACTTAAATAAGATTATCATGCTAGATCCACCTTCAATAAGCAATTATATTCAACCTAATTAGAATTTTTTTTTAATTATGGTGATGAGATTGTTTAGTGAGTCCTGAGATATACTTGTCAAAATGTTTTAATGAGAGTGTAACACCATTTTAGTCAATAGTCAAATGGACTAAAGTTTTGGTTTGTGAATTTGGTGATGTATTTGTGAGTTCAATCCTTAGTGAAAACTGGGCACAGAATAACAGGACATAACTAGACAAGATAGCCCTAGACATGGGCAGCAGAAGAAAAATTAGATTAAATAAAGGGTTCAGATTGAAATACCCTGAAGGCTGCCTGTATCAACAAGAACCTGATGATGGCTGGAGGGTACAATGACTGAAACATTGAGATTTGGGTTGTGGAGTTGGAACACAAAACCTTAGACTTGGACTTCTCTAATTTTGACACCTATCTAATTAAGTGATTATGGCTTACAAATCTCATAAAGCCTATGCATATATTCCTAACTTGAGTAGGCCTATATCATTATAACTGGTTTATATCAAAGAATAAAGATATTGTGGCTTTTATATCATACCTATTCATTCTTCAATATTTCCTAGACAAAATCTTTGAAAGGATATAGAAGAAATAATAAAATGCAATAATGTAAGAATAAGATATATATATATATATATATATATATATATATATATATATAAATAAAATCTTTGCAAATAAGAAATAAGTACAGAACAAAAATAAATCTACTTTATAAGTTGAAATATATTCTTTTACAGTATGTAAAAGACATAAAAATAAAAATTCTATAATGGAAGATTTTTTTTTACATATATAGTTTAGCAAATACAAAATAACTACAAAAATAAAAGGAGTTTAAAAAAGAAGTTGAGATGAATTTCTTTAAAGGAAATAGTAAATATACAGTGGAAGAAATAACAATAAAAATTCTATAATGTAAAACTTTTTACATAAAGTGTAAATTCAACTGGAGTTGGAGTCAGTAAAACTCCAACTCCAGGGACCCCTTAATTGCTCCAAACTCCACAGCCAAGGTTTTGATCTACACATCCTTATATGCATTTCTTAATTCTTCCTTTACAACAATTACACCCAGTAACACTCTACCTTGAGAGGCCCTTGAGCTTTATATTGGGTGAACTATAAAAGAGAGGACACAAATCCAAAAGGGTAAATCATTGCAGAATTTCAGATAGAAATTAATCGATTATATTATAGTCAACTGTTTTTGTTTACATCACTGTCTCCCTCCAGGACAATGTCCCTGGTACACAGTAGTCAAACCATTTTTTCTTAGTTATCTATTATTAATCATAAAATTGAAATTGTTAGTACTTCCCACCCCAACAATGTCAAAACATTCCTAACAGGTAGGTCCATGAATGTAGTTGTTAACCTTTAACACTCTGTATTATTGACAAGTATTACTTCAAGGTGATTTTTATTTAAGCCTCCTCAACTTCAGTAACCCCATTTTTGATTTTAGTTGCTATAGTAGGACATGACAATACTACTACAAAATTCAAACCTGCTGAGTTGTCTTTGGTGAAAGGACTAAAGTCTACAGTCATCTGAGGCCCAAGTGATCAATGCTTGCTTCTCGGCTCATTTACCTTTCTACTTCACATAAATTATCTGCCTAGGATGATTTGCAAATATCTATGCTGGTAACACAATGGTATGTGGGTGCACTTCCAAAAATTTAGAGGACCAGATCTTGGCAACTGACCTCTCAACAACAGCTCAGAAGAAAAGTTGCTGGTCACATTCAATACCTCAAAAAACAAACTAGTGACATTCAATCATTATTAAGAAAACCCTGAATTTTCATCTATTGCAATAAATGGGTGCTCCCTGGGGGAGGCCCAGTGACTTGGGCGCCTATTAGAACTTAAACTCTTGGGTTTTGTATAGGGTAAACATTATTGTTATATATATATATATATATATATATATATATCTTTCACATTTATCTTCCAGTTACAAACTTATTGACATTGAAATAGCAAATCATATCTTTTATGTTATCTCAAAATCCTATCTATGGAAACAGGTTTTTGTTCCTGGAAGTCCCTAAAATGAACAGTGGAATTAAGAAAGGACCCGACAATCTTGCACCTAAGGCAGATTATAGGGTATTAACTTTAGCATTTCAAACCATTTCTGCATGCCAACCACTGATTTACTTTTTATATTTCCCTTTATTTTTTCTTTTTAAACTATCCTCATATTCTGCACCCTCAGGAGTTTAATTCCTTGTTATACAAGAATTGTTTGTAATAGCAACACAAAATAGCAAAAGAAAAAGAAAATTGTCATCCTTATGAAGGAATGTATATACAAGGGAAATGTCACCTGAACTTTTTGAACAAGGACATTTTTTTTCTATTCCGGTTAACTGAGCAAAAATATATTGAAATATGTCATTCTTTGGAGATTAAATTAAATTTTAGCTTTTATTTACAGAATAAAGTAGTTGAAATAAATCATATTACATTTCAGATGTAATATTTTTCTTTTTTTTTTCTAATATTTCAAATTCATGACGTCAAAAAGCTGAGGAGTCTTGTTCATAAAAATTAAAGGAAGTAAATCAGTGTTTGGTAATAAAAAGAAAAAAAAAATCAATTGAAACACTAAACTTAACATTATAAACCTTATCAATCTTTTCAATTGAAAAAATATCAATCCATATTCTGGATGAAATTTTTTAAAGAGAAAAAAGGAAATTTATTACATATAATTTAGACAATACATGAAAACATCCACAAAACTCTGTTGAAAGGTGAATACACAAATAAACATATTCAAATTTCAATATTTTTGTGCTAAACATTGTTGGAAAAAAAAAAATCTTTTCTAAGAATACATTTTGAATAAAGAAAGTGATGAGTTTAAAGATTTTTGTTTTGTTTTTTGGGGACAGCAATGTTTGCTTAAATAAAAACTATGGTGAAATTTCTTCAATCATTATTTCTACTTGGATATTTTATGTGTAGAGGAATAAAAAATAAACACAAAACGAAATGTAGACATGGATGGGTCAGTTTTTTGTCTGACAAAAAGTATTTTATAATTGTGAGAGCGTAATTTACCTTTCTGGAAAAATCTAAAAGTTTTTCAAAATTGAAGAATATATTAAAAAAAAGAAAAAAGTTAATTAACAAAAATTATTTTAGATTTTAGAAAAATCAATAATGTAAAAACTTAGATTTTTTTTCTTCCTTTAAAATTCATTAGCTTTCCTATAGACTTTGACCTCAAATCAAGCAGCAATTATTAATTACAAACACTTCATTTGCAAAAAAAAAAAAAAAAAAAAGACTTATGTAAGCTTGAAAAATATTTTTAAACGAATTCCAACCTATTTTGAAGAAATCAAATCTATACTAAAGCAACACAAAGGACCAAGTCATTTTTTGTGCCTCATATTACAGATGTCTGTTGGCAAAAACTGAAATTTTTAAATTTGCCAAAATTTTTTAAAGGTAAAAAAAAACTTTTAACAGTCAAGACATTTGTAATAAGGCAAGATAAATAATAATCAGTATG